CCTACCACCAACAGTACTGGCTGGATGGCAAGAAACTCATTGGTGTCGGTGTGATAGACATACTTCCTGGTTGTCTCTCCTCTGTTTACTTCTTCTACGATCCCGCCTTCGCCTTTCTCCGTCTCGGCACATACTCTGCTCTCCAGTGAGTTTATGCTCATCTTTAGCACCCTCTTTAGTAGTCTCCTTGTCTATCGGCCATCTATTGCAGAGAAGTAGCTTTCGTTCGCCACTTGCATCGCACTTACGGATCAGTTGTGCCAGCTTACGCCGATTTTACATTCTACCATATGGGCTTCTACGTTCACTCCTGTGGTAAAATGGTGTACAAGAACAACTACTTGCCCTCCTACCTTGCCTGTCCGGAGACCTACGAGTGGATTCCAATAGAGCGGTGCCAGCGTCTGCTGGACCGTAACAGTTATGCTCGATTTGCAGAGCCAACTGTGGCGAAGATGCCAAGTGTCGATGTTGACAAAGTGGTTCTTCTCCTCCCTTTGTCCACATCGTTGGCTTGGATTCTGCCAAAACCCCAATTCACTGTCGAAGGCAACACCATCGTCACTACTGTTGGTGCCGCTAGACGAATACTGAGCGAGCACGACTTCCAGTTGGTGCGAGATTGGGCCAATCTGGTACCTTCCATTGGCACCATACGAATTAACTTTACTCACTAAACACTGTCCCACGTCCAAAACATCTCACAGACCCATCTTTCGTCTTCAACACTTTGCAATCAACACTTGTCATTGTCGCAATTTTTACTTGTAAATTGGCGTAGGTTGTGACTGATAACGTTTAGTGGCAGTGGGCTTTGCAACATGTGGAATGAAGGTGAGTAGATTAAAAGTGGGTGAAGACGTGAATGTCAATGTTTGGCAGGGGCTCTTTGGTATCGCATGTGAGTCACTTCGTAAGGCAGCATTGTTTTAATGAAAGCAGCTACCTTTTAATGCCTCCTTACCACATGAGAGTGTGGCGAAGGCCAGTGGTGGTGGCACCACTGCGACGCCTCGTGGGTGTGAGCAATGACGGCACCCAATAAATCCACTTCATGGCAAACGCCTCCCAAGGCACTAGTAACAGGGAACTAAGAGGGTGACACATGCAAGAGCTGAGAAGCACACAGAGGCACTGCGGATGGGTTCGGTGATTGGGCCAGTCTTGGCACGAACATCTTCCCTTTTCCGTCCATAGCATGGCGTATTTGGAGGTCGTCTCAGTGTAGGCATGCACGATAGGCTAACTGCGTGCATCAAGTGATTTGGACATTTGCCCCTGCCACTGCTCCCACTCATTCACCTGGACGACAATCTGCAGAGCTCGTGACATATCAAAGC